TTAAATATATAGTTTTTCAAACCATATTTTCTCCATTTCTCTTTTCATCCTTCTATTTCATGAAAGAAACAGAAACAAAAAATAACTTGAAACTGGGAAATTAAAAGAGGAAGCCATAAACGAATATACTCATGGAACCGAAGCAATTAGGATGCCAGCGAAGTTTTTAACTCTCAAGCTTTGGATTTGGGAAGCCATGGAAGGAGAAAGGAAGGGAGTTTTGTTGGCTGTAATTGAAGGCTCAGTTAGAGGAACGATGGAAGAAGAAAGGAGAGAACGAAGAATACTTTTGGTTAAATTAGGAGACATCTTCCCTACTTTTTCTGACTTAAGGGTACAGCCCCATAACACAACGACTTTAGTCTCCATCTGCCAGAAGAACCTAAAATCTCATCACTTCAATACCCTATTAAACACAAGGCAGACAAGTCCATGTGAACATAAATCCTTGGTTTTTGAAACCCTAACCATCCCTAATGCTCATTACTATCTTGGAGAAAGTTTTCTACAAGTATTCTTTTAAAAAAATCAATAAAAAAAATTAATAAATATAATTTTAAATAATGCTCATTACTATCTTGGAGAAAGTTAATAAATATAATTTATATAATATTTTTTAATATTTCTTCTCAAATAAAAATTATTTAAATTTAAAACTTGTATTATCCTATATTATTAATTAGGAAAAAAAATGAAGTTAGAAAAATTTAAATTCATGATTATGACCATCAAGATTTTAATATCTTATTAAAAAATCATTCTATCTAAAAATTTAAGTGTTTTTTGAGAGAATGGTTTTTTAATAATTATTTTAATCTAAAAATTTTAATTATTAAGTAATGTTTCAACATATAATTTATATAATATTTTAATATCTACCCATCAAGATAATTAAAAATATATTAATTTAATATATTTTTAAATCAAGAACAATTTTAAGAAATACTCACGGCTACAAACGCACTTTCAATAAGGCACGGACAAAACAAGAATGCAAGTTGCAAACATATGCCAGAATAATTAGATTCAAGGAGAGCACAAGGAAACCAAAACCAAAGTGGGATAAACAACTTCTGAGAGCCGCCAGCGTCATCATTCATACTGATAATTAAGCACCATACTGTGTTTTTAACTTCTCATGTTCTGATTCAACTGTATTTTTAAAATTAAAAAAGAATTATTATGGTTATTTTAATATGTTAATATTAAAAATAATTTTTAAAAAAACATTAATTTAATATATTCCTAAAAAAATCTATTTTATTACACTCTTAAGCATACCCTGTTCACTTAGATATTTGATGGAGATATGTACGTACATGGTTTCTGGAGCACATAAGTTAGCAGCCTTACCTCCTTAGCCTGAAAACACTGAGTCCTTTGTTGCTGTATATTAATATCAACGGGGACACATATTTTGTTTGATGTTTTCATGTTTTAAAAATATTTTTTTAAAATGCTTTTAGAAAACTTTTTCTAATTTTTTATAAAGTTTCCACATTACAATGGCATGAATCAGCGTGCTAACCCTCAAGGTATTTTTTATAAAGTTTCCACATTACAATGCCATGAATCAGCGTGCTAACCCTCAAGGTTTTTTTAATTAATTATTTTTTAATTTTATTTTTTAATATAGAGTTAATTAAAAATTAAATTTTATTATTTATTTTATTTATATTTTATTATTTATATTTTAGTTTTATTAATTAGAAATAATACTTAACAACTTAACCTAAGTCAACTCAAATCATTTTTTGTTTATTGTTTTTATTAATTTTTTTATTTCATCATACAACACTATATCAATTAAAAATTGAATTTTATTATATGTTTTTATATACTTTTCATGTGGATATTTTGGTATTATAATCAAGATTGCAGATTTGACATTTGAACTCTTGTTAAATCTGGGTCATTTTTTATTTTCTTTTTAAAGAATTATCCATGTCTTATAATTCAGGTAATAGATTATCCTCATCTCATGACTTAAGTCGTGATTTTTATAGGTTAATCCAATTGACTCAGTTTTTTTATTTTTTAATTATTTTTTTTATTTTTATCATTTAATATTGTGTTTGATTAGAAGTTAAACTTTATAATTTATTTCAGTTTGCTTTGTATTGGATTATCTTGACCACATAACTCGGGTCACAAATTTAATATATCAACACAGGTTAACCCGAGTTAGTATGATATGTTGTTATCTTGATATTTAAAAATTATAATATTAAAAAAATAGTCAAAGTATGTTTTTACAGTTTGTATGGGTGGTCTTTCGATTCACAAAATCAATCAAATTATATTATATTAACCCTTATATGATTTTAATTTTTTATGCTAAAACAAATTTTACCAACATCTAAATAATTTTTTTTGTTCAAGAAAAAATTAACTCATGACATGACTTGTTACTTGCTACGCAACGTGGGTCAATGATCTAGTAAAAAAACTAAAGGAGGAAGACGTTTTGCTATTTTCATCCCCGCATAACACTATTCACTAAATAGTATTTTTTTTTACTACACTATTCACTAAATAGTATTTTTTTTTTACTTTTTTTACTTTTTTTAATTTTAATTTTATATTTAAGTATTAGATTTATTGGAGATTAAACTGTATAATATTTTTCAACTTGCTTTTAATGAGGTTATTTTAAACTCATAACGCAGATCGTGGATTTGATAAGTTAACTCAATTAACTCGAGTTTCTTTTCCTTTTCTTAATTAATCTTTTTTTTTTCAATCTCATCATTCAATATTGAGTTAATAGGGAATCAGATTTCATGATTTTATTTTGGTTTGCTTTCCAAGAGGTTATCCTCGTTCCAAAACTACAGTCGTGGATTTAGCAAGTTATTCTAGATAAACCCGAGTTTTTTTTGTGCTTTTTTTAATCAATCTTTTTTAATTCTATCTTTAAACATTGGGTTTATTGATAATTGAACTTCATAATTTATTTTAATTTTTTATTAGATTATCTTGGTCTTATAATAGGATCGTGAGTTTGACAAGTTAACTTAAATTAACCCGAGTTATTTTTTTGGTTATTTTTAATTATTTTTTTTATTTTATCCATTAATATTGAGTTTATAAGAAATTGAGCTTTATTATTTAATTTGATTCATTTTCTATGAAGTTATCATAATTTTATAATTTTGTACGTGAATTTACAACTTAATCTAGGTTGATTTAATATGTTACTATCTAACTTATTAAAAAATATTATTTTTAAATATTTATTTTAAATCAAATTATATTTTTACTTTATATAATATATATATATATATATATATATATAATCACACTAAATTGATCACTCACATCAAAACAATCCCCTCACATTTTTTTTTAGCAATGTCAGGACATTTATTTTAAGTTAAAGAAAAAATAAATCCGATCATAACATTGAGTGGGCATAATTATCCTTTTACTACACACAATACCTTTTCCAGAAAAAAAAAAAGTGATTTACTATTAGTGTATTTGTTCTTACGATCCAAAGCTTTTGAAATCTTTGAAATTTTTTTCTGCTTTAAATGATTTTTTTATGATTTTGTATTATTTTAATGTGTAAATATTAAAATAAATTTTAAAAAATAAAAAAAATATTATTTTAATATATTTTAAAATAACAAATATTTTAAAAGTTAATCACTATCATAATTACAAATACTATATATATAGTATTAAATATGTGTTTAGTATTGTAGTACATAATAATTTTTAAAAGCTTTTTAATTAAAATTATATTAAAATAATATATATTTTTCATACCAAGATATCTAAATCTATTTTAAAATATTTTAAAAAATTAATTTAATATTTTTTAAATGAAAATAAATTTGAAAAGCAAGTTATAAAATAAAACAAATATTCATTAAAATACTTTGTACCATCAACATGATAAAAGAAAAACAATTCTCCCATTTACATATTCTTAATAGAATACTTAATCTTTTATTAATTATATTTGGAATGCTTATTAATTGTAATAATTATCAAGATCGACTCGGGATTTAATAATTTAGAATTCGACTCGGGAAAAACATTTGGCTCAGGCTAGTTTGGTTTTAAAGTAAATGGAGAGTTAATCTAATTAAATTACAGTGATCCAAACAAACCAATCTATAATTTAAGTAACCCTGTTAAACTCGAGAGAGAGCAATCGGATTAACTTCAATTTCTTTTTCTTTTTTTTTATAAAAAAAACACCATTGTTCTTTTTCTTTTTTTTTTAAAAAAAAAACACCATAGTAATTAATACTTAACATAATACTATTTACATACTGAATGTGACGAAGCAATGGCAATAACCCTCTTCTTTAAAAGTGTCCTTCCACACGGGTAGGGTGGTCCAGAGTACCTCCATAGGGAGTAGTACCTTATTCAAGGGACACATCCCCGAAAAAACAAAAACAAGGAATAATAATCGGAAAAAATGCTTTGAAAAAACGAAAAGCTTTGCTGAAAAAAGATTGAAATAAAAACCCTAGCATCCCAAAACTAGACTCGTACTTCAATAATTTATGAAAGTATTTTTAGTTAATGGCGGTTTAGTGGAAACCTAATCTGTTTGACTTATCAAATAAGAGAAATTCTAAACCAAAATTACCAATTGCTTATAAACAAACTGTCGGTTGCGTCATTAATCAATCTTAATAACACATATTTTAGCTTCATTATTATCTAAAAAATGACAAATTAAAAGGAAAAAAAGGGGTCAGAGAGGGGAGATGAATCGTTTCTATCTTTTACATCAACGTTTTTGTGCTGCACCATGCAGCACGATGAGTTTCGTCACTTTCAAATTTCAAGCTCCCTATGTATATATATTTTAGAGCTATCACCAGCTACAAATACACTATGCAAATCCCGAAGTCCAGGTGTTAAACTGCAGAGCCTTGAAATCGCCGACATCACGCTCCTTCATCCATTCGAGCGGCTTGTTTTTCTTCTTCAATTTCATTTGTAAAGCACGCATCTTCAAGCGTTCCTAAAGTATGGAAGAAGCGCTTAGAAGGCTCGACGGAATACCGAGCCATACACTAGAAACCATCCTGCACGAACCCATCATCGCGGATCTCCAGAATAAATCAGCACCTACCAACACGGCTAGCACCACAACAAACAAAAGGTCACTGAAAGAAAGTGGTGGGAGCTTGAGGTACCGTGGCGTCCGCAGGAGGCCATGGGGTCGTTATGCAGCCGAGATAAGGGATCCTCAGTCTAAGGAACGGCGTTGGCTTGGCACTTTTGACACTGCTGAGGAGGCTGCTTGTGCCTATGATTATGCAGCTCTAGCAATGCGTGGTCTCAAGGCTCGGACTAATTTCGTGTACCCAGATGCTCATTCTGCAACAGTTGACCCTTCTCATAACTTGCTCCCTCCGTTTACCTTCTCAGAATCATCTCATCAACCCTCTCGCCACTATACTAAATCCTCTTCAAATTGCTCTTTTCTTGGTCACCCTCATGTTGGTGACTTCTCTGCTGGTGGGTCTCCACCGCATAGGAGTAGTGACAGTGTTGCTGGTACTTCTCTGAACATGCTTTTTCTCCGTGATTTCATTCACTACCCTTCGGGTTCGTCGTCTCATAATCATCCCCAACCTTTTTCTGATCACTCTCCATGCATCAATGGGTCCTCCAATTCTGATCCTAGCAATTTCTCAGGTGGTTATTTTGTGAATCCTTCTATTAACACTATTTCGAGTTCATTTAATATCTCTTTAGCAGACTCAACTGTCACTACTCTACCGCACATGGAGTTTCATCAGAATTATAGTACTCCTGGAGACCTGAAAAGGCCCGACGCCAAAGCTGAAGAGTTGGAATTTTTTCCACAAGAACCATCCGATTCTGGTTTGTTGCAAGAGATTATTCAAGGGTTTTTCCCTAAACACTCCTCTGACAAGATTGCGTCTTCAGAAAGCTCTGGAGAGTCAATAGCTGCACCAACGTCTGAAATAGTATCTGTTAATCAGTCACTAGATGGGTCGAGAACGGGCATGAAGAAGTACTTTGTTAAAAATGAGCACCATGATCCTTATCTTGGTCATCAAGGAATAAGGTCGGGGCAGATAATTGGGGGCTGTTACAGGGGGGTTAGTTCTCATGAACTTCCGCACTGTAATGAGATGCCATTGATCAATCATCAGATGGGTCCGGACTCCATTTTAGATGACATTTTTCAGTACCCAGATCGTATGAGTGCCTCTGCTGCTAGGTTCTAGAATGTTAAAGGTCTTGTTTCGGTGCAACGTCTACAAGATTTTTAGTTAGTTAATGTTCAGTTATAAGACTTCAATTCAAAAGATTATCTAGCTCAAGTTACCATGATTTCCTCTTGGAAATCTTGTTAAATTAAGCTGATGATTATATATGTTATATATCCTCTTAACTCTTTAAGTCTACCGGAACCGGGTTATATTGAAGTTAATTTCGTGTTTTGTTACAATGGTCTCTGCTCTCTCTCTCTCTCTCTCATATGTGTTCATTGTTGACTTTGGATCTGAAAAGTTGTGTTTACTCGGCTTTATGCTTCTCGTAGTGTTCTTTTTTACTGCTATGGTGTACACCCAGTGTATTTTCATTTTTGGTTCTTTCCGCGTAATATATCAAAGGAAACCCTAAATGGGTAAAGCTGAAAATCATTCGTAGAATCCGGTGTTGTGCCAGGTAAAAACTAGCTACTTCCTGGGAAAAATATAAAAATGGTACCTTACAGTGTCCACTGGTATCCATGCCTTCCCCAGTTTTTGTTGCAAGTGATTGTACTCCCTCGTGTTTTCTTTTTCTACTATTTTTAATTTTTTTGCACCGCCTACGATTGATTCTAATTTTTGAAGTACTAAATGATGAGTTCCGGATAAAGTTTCTTTTGGGAAGCGAGGAGTCCCCTTCGGATAGCATCATTGAAGAACCGGAGATCCCAGAACGCCATTTTTTTCGATTACCATGTTATTAGTATAAATCTCCAAGTATTCTTATATAGCGGATAATACTGTTGTTATGGTGTTTAAAAAAACATCTTTGCCGACTATAATTGCATGGAAATCGAGGCTCTTGTGCACGGAAAGAATTCCAAAATAAAGAGTATGCTAGTATGGTGCCTAAGTTAGCATTCACTGAAGAGGGAAAGAGCCTTAAGAGAACATGTTCAACTTGTTTGCATAATAAAAGCGGAGAGGGGGAGAGAGAGAGGAGACCCCCCCTTTACCTTCGAATTCAAAACCCTTTATATAGCTTTGAGCTCACATGAATTTGTTGACAGACGAGTGCAAAATAGACGATTTATATGATATATGTATGAGCTTTCAAGAAAAATTGAGAGATTTATTCTTGTTTAAGCCACTACCCATCAAGATTCGTACGTTTTCCTTGGCGTTAAGCTCTTTATTATCAAGAATTTGTGGTCTTAATTTGAGTTTGGTTATGACTCTCTTGTATTGTGTATCCACTTGGTTTGGTATAATGAAATCTTGATCCATTTCCGCTTATTAGTAGTGTTTGGAATGTAATTCAAACCATGTTTTTTAAAAATTTAAAAATTATTTTTATTTTAAAAAAATTTATATATTTTCAGACCATTTAACATAATAATGTTAAAAATAATTTTAAAAAATAAAAAAATATTTATTTTATATATTTTCAATTGAAAAACTTTCTTTCTCCTTTAATTTTCGATTATCCTTTAGTTAACATTTAACAAAAATATTAAAGAAAATCTATAAACTTAAGAACTGAACCTTATCTCATGAATTGTATATGAGAAGTACAGTAACTGTACTTGATGACATATTGGATTCAAACTGAACGTGTAAATTTTAGGATATATGTTCAAGATAAGGTTCATGATTAACCAAACCAAAATGACCCTAGATTAACCTAACCAAATCTACGTTAGATTAACTGAACTGAGTTTCATATATAGAGACATTCATGCACGTATTTTTTCCCCTTATAATTCTCTTATATTTTTCAATTCTTAATATATACTCGATAGCAGAGTTAGAAATAAATGGTGATTTTACATGTAATGCCATTCTTTTTAATATATTTAGAACATAAAACAATTATATGAATCTATGTGACTATTATAATATTTTATTACTTTATCTTATAAAAAAATTATAATTATATATTGAAGTGTAAGGATATCCTTAGTTATTGGAGCAACATTTATGCACATAGATTGATAGAACATAAAACAATTATATGAATCTATATGACTATTATAATATTTTGTTACTTTATCTTATAGAAAAATTATAATTATATATTGAAGTGTTATAGTAAGGATATCCTTAGTTATTGGAGCAACTTTTATGCACATAGATTGACTTCTTTCCTTGATCCAATGTCAAACAAGCCCCCTCTATAAGATAATGATTTTTTAAAGTTCTAAAAAATATTGTTAATTTTATCATCATATATATTCTACTTTTGGACTTCTAAGAACACATATTTTTTTGTTGATCAATTTTATATTTGATTTTGAACATTATTTAAGATTGAGTTATTTATTTTGAAAATATTTAATATTGTTAATTTTATATCTTATTTTAGCTAGTTAAGATCTAAGAAAATAAAAAGAAAAGAGTAGTAAAATAAAGAATATTCGGCGCTTATCAATATCAAGTTTTTCTTATTAAAAAAACAATAAAACTCTTAGATTAAAATAAATCAAGTATTCACTCTTGGATTAAAGGTTATTTAATTGTTAATTAATCTCCAAATCAGTTGTCCAAAATCTATCATCGTTTTATAACACGATTTTAAATAAATATCATGGAAGTACTGTAACAAACTTATTTATTCATAATAATAAATATAAATTAGGTATTGAATCTATTATTATCGAAATTAATGTCGCAGTTATGCTCGACATTTACAACTTTTAACGGTTCCCAGTCCCACGCTTGGAATAGTTTCTTCCGACAAGGAAGCGTACAAATGTTGGAAGATTCAGCACTAATTACAATCCAGCACTGCTGCAACCATCATCCGTACGCTCATGCACATATTCTGATCAATTCCTCTTTGCCAGAATAACAAGATACGCATAACCCATTTCGTACATTAGCATATCCTGTGGGTCCTTTTTCTTCTGATCTAGTTATGACCCTAATGTCAGTCTCCATGGACTGCAATTAATCCACTTCCCACGGTTGCCCCAGGAGGCTGAGGCTTTCCTTTCACGAGCAGGACAGTGGCCACAATGATCTGGTTGCCTCCCCGCGACGAGATTTGACACCGTCATAAATTATACATCTAAACACGCCACGCTACAGTACAATTTTTAAATATAATCTTTAGGGTTTTACTTAATGGCGAAGTGGATTCAATCTACCCAGAGTGTCCACCCAGTTAAGAAGCTGGGTCTTAGATCATATAATTTGATGCAGTTCAACTTAAAAAAAAAAAATAATTTGATGCAGTTCAACTTAAAAAAAATAAAATAAAACATTTAAAAAATTATGTTTGAGATTTTAATACTTTATATTAACAAAATTTAAAACAATGCATGAGATATGAATTATAAAAAATAAGTATGTGGCATGAAACATGATATAATTATCTCATATTAAAAAGTTAATAAACAATTTATGTGAATGTAACTTATATGTAATTATTCTACATTGAAAAATTAGAAAATAATTTATATAAATGTAAGCTATGAAAAATAAATGTGAAGTGTAGTCTAACTATCCCTCATTAAAAAATTAAAAAATAATCTATGTAAATATAAAAAATAAAACATGAATATGAAGTATAATATAGTATAGTATAGTATAATTGTTCTACATTCAGAGGTTAAGAAACAATTCACGTATAGTTATCTTATATCCAAAGGTTAAAATTGCAATTCATGTAGACATAGACTATATATAGTTATCTCACATTTAAAAGTTAAAAATACAATTCATATAAATATAAAATATAAAAACAATATCTAAGATTAAGTATTCATAAATTGATTTTATATTTTTAAAGTTTATTAAAAAAATTAAATAAAAAAAGAAGAAGAAACCTAGTCTCACCTGGGTTATGTTGAGCCACCTAAGTTTTAGATAAACCTAGCGGGTCGCTTGGATTTGACCAGGCTAATTGCAAGCTAGGGTTTAATAACTATAACATCCATCATACTTATGAAACCTGATTCGGTATTGACCTGAGTCAACTTTTATATATATATATATATATAGAGGTTTTAATATTTCATATAAATATATATATATATATATATATATTGAGATTTTAATATTTCATATAATTTTTTTTTAGAAATAATATATGTGATACTATAAAAAAATGAGGCATGTAGTGTAGTATAGTTAATCATACGTCAAAAAGTTAAGAAATAATTTATATAAATGTAGGTTATGAAAAAAATATAAAGTGTAATATACTCATCTCAAATTAAAAATTTGAGAAACAGTCCACTTGGATATAAGTTATATATAGTTATTTTAAATTAAAAAAAAATAGTATATCTAGATGTAGACAATAAAAAAAATATGAGGTATCAAATTTAATATAGTGTATAAAATAAAAATGTGAAGCATGGTCTAGTTATTTAGTTACCGCATATCGAAAAATTACTAAATAATTTATGTGAATGTAAAATATAAAAAGTGATATACAAGATTAAGTATTGATGAATTAATTTTATATTTTTAAAGTTTATTAAAAAAATTAAATCTCACCAATCATCCATATTGATAGGTCATCCGAGTTTGACCGATTCCATTTCCAAGCACAAGTTTTTATCATTTTAAACCCAGTCAAGGCCTTGGATTTTTCAAGTTTCAGTCAATCTGTTAAGTTCCAAAACCAAGTAATGAGAATGTATATTTTCATGGATCCATAAATTTTAGTGGGAGAAACAGGCCGAGATGGTGGACTTAGTTATATAAATTATACATGTACTAAAGGAAATGATCTTTTACCTTAGAAATGACACCCTTGAAATTTTATTTTACCAGTGCGGATGTAGCGTTGACAAAACTATAACTTTGCTCTTTTTAAAAAAAAATAATTTTTTTCTTATATTTTTTCTTTATACATGATGTTTTTATCACTTTATACTTGATTTTTTTATTACTATTTTTTTATGAAATCTTTTTATTTTTTTCCTTTACTCTTTCTTGAAAAAAAAATGTTATTTGTTATTTGTTATACTAGGAGTATTTATCACTTCATATTTAACTTATTTTTATTGTCATTATTT